GGTGTAGACCTGGGCAGGGGGGTGTAGACCTGGGCAAGGTTGGGGGTTGTAGACCTGGGCAGGGGGGTGTAGACCTGGGCAAGGTGGGGGGGGGTGTAGACCTGGGCAAGGGGGGTGTAGACCTGGGCAGGGGGGTATAGACCTGGGCAAGGGGGGGGAGGGGTAGACCTGGGCAAGGGGGGTGTAGACCTGGGCAGGGGGGGTGTAGACCTGGGCAGGGGGTGTAGACCTGGACATGGGGGGTGTAGACCTGGGCAGGGGGGGGGTGTAGACCTGATCAAGGGGGGGGGGGTGTAGACCTGGGCAGGGGGGATGTAGACCTGGGCAAGGGGGAGGGGTGTAGACCTGGGCAAGGGGGGGGGGGTGTAGACCTGGGCAAGGTGGGAGTGTAGACCTGATCAAGGGGGGGGGGTGTAGACCTGGGCAGGGAGGTGTAGACCTGGGCAGGGGGTGTAGACCTGGGCAAGGGGGGGGGGGTGTAGACCTGGGCAACGGGGGGTGTAGACCTGGGCAAGGGGGGGTGTAGACCTGGGCAGGGGGTGTAGACCTGGGCAAGGGTGGGGTGTAGACCTGGGCAGGTGGGTGTAGGCCTTTGGCAGGGGGGTGTAGGCCTGGGCAGGGGGGTGTAGACCTGGGCAGGGGGTGTAGACCTGGGCAAGGGGGGGGGGTGTAGACCTGGGCAACGGGGGGGGGGTGTAGACCTGGGCAAGGGGGGTGTAGACCTGGGCAGGGGGTGTGTAGACCTGGGCAGGGGGTGTAGACCTGGGCAAGGGTGGGGTGTAGACCTGGGCAGGTGGGTGTAAGCCTTTGGCAGGGGGGTGTAGGCCTTTGGCAGGGAGGTGTAGGCCTTTGGCAGGGAGGTGTAGGCCTTTGGCAGGGAGGTGTAGGCCTTTGGCAGGGAGGTGTAGATTTATTGAGAGGGGTGTAGACTTGGGCGGGGGGGGGGGGGTGTAGACCTGGGCGGGGGGGGGGGTAGACCGTGCTCAATGATATCACTAGACAGAAAAGAAGGGTCTGTTCTGATTGCGCAATCTGTTTGTTCACTGTGGGACATCTGCTCTACCAACACTGACATGGTTAATTTTACATTTAACCTCTAATTTTAAGGTTATATCCCCAGAGAAATGCGTAGACACATCTCACATGGCAACGAAATACGGGAAGGGAGAAAGGGGGTGGGTGCTGTCGAAAGCCACAGCCAGCTCTAGCTTTTTATAGGCCAAGCAGGTCCACGGAAATTCCCGTTTGTGTAAAAGTCACAGGACAAGGTAGTGTTGTCAACTTTTTAAAAGTAAGTTTGTGCACAAATTTAACTACAGATTTTTGGTAACTATTTCAAAAATACATCACACGTTTTTCTGAATACTGCATGCAACAATGCTTCTTCCAGATCATTATTAACTATTAATGTTTTGATTATTTGCGTCAGATGACCCATGGAGGGGCGGGGTGACATTTTGCTTTAACAAATTTTGAATATCAGGTGGGTTGGAGAGGGTGTGTTAAAACCATGGGTGCAAAATACTCTAGTTATGCCCCTTTCCTCTGGATATGTTTCTTAAGAGTGCCAAACGATTCCTGCTCCTGATTTTATGGGTTGTAGCCAGAGTAGCCGGTGATTTGTTATTTCTCTTGTAACAACAGTCGATCATTTGTTGCTAATTTCACATCTTTTTTTTCGGTGTGCCGTCTCCACAAGTAAGGTTGGGTGAGAATACAAAGAGCTAGAAGAAATAACAACCTTGAACAGAAAGATGAAGGCAAATGCAAGCCCTAGAACACTGCCCTGGCAAGGACGTCTCACCTGAGAAGCTTTCCTGCTGAGTTCCACGGCCACATCGCCCCCGGAGTTGCCTATCCCGATGACCAGGATCCTTTTGTCTTCAAACCCGTCTGGCCGCTTGTAGTCGTGGCTGTGGAGAACCTGGACGTGAATAGAAAGAAGCATGAATCCTCCACTTTATATACCAACAAGCATCAATTCTGCATTTCATTAACATAACATAACGTACATAACATAACATAAAGCACATAACATAACATAACGTAAATAACATAACATAATACACATAACATAACATAACGTAATAACATAACGTATATAACATAACGTAATGCACATAACATAACGTACATAACATAACATAACGTATAAAACATAACGCACATAACATAACATAACGTACATAACATAACGTATATAACATAAAATGATGCACATAACATAACATAACATAACGTATATAACATAACATGATGTACATAACATAACATAACGTACATAACATTGCATAAAGTACATAATATAACATAACCCTTGACCCATTAGGGTCATTGAGGTGTATTGATGGAAGCATTTGCACATAAAACCCGCCAACTTTCTCTGTCTATTGTTTGATGAATAAATGTATGATAACTCACTCCTCTCCATTTCTTGATGTTGTCAATGCAGGTTCTTCTTTGTCCTCCTCTTCTTTAACTACCAGCGAATGTTCCCTGAAGTCTTTGCAATCGAATCATGTCTTACCACGTGCCCAAAACCAAGCTGGCCTGCGACGAGTCACCACAGAAACAAAGGCTACTGATGTCCCGCAAATTTTTAAACTTTGTCTCTCACATATTTATTAGTTTTGTGTTTTTTCATTTCATTTCATCAACACGCAGACATGAATTGTTCACTTCATACACATACATATATCAATTCTTTGTTTTCGACATACTCAAGCTAGAATTCTTTACCTAAAACAATATTTGTAATCGAAGTATCAATTTTCTTTTTCAAATGGGCACAAAACGACCACCC